GAAGTGCAGACCAGACTAAGTGTACCATCTCCACAGAGCAACTGAGCATACTCTAGCCTAGGGCTCCAGGGGTTCAGGAAAATTCTCCTGTAATTGCTGCTCTAAGCCAAAGAATCATTAGGCACAAAAACTGAAAGCAGGGATCCTATTGCCTGTGTATCGATGGTCCACTTACTGATATCCAGGTTGTAAGAAAGAGGAGGAGGATGCTGTCTGATCTGAATGGAGAGGGAACAAAATGAATGAATGAATGAATGAATGAATGAAAGCAAAAGTCAGACCAAGAAAGGAAAGAAGCAGGTTGGAATATGCAGTTTATGACAGGTGAGGGGGAGGGAAAGTGGCTGGACAAGGAAATTGAGACTGGGAGCAACAGAAAAGGGCAGGCTGGAACTGGAAGTTGTGAGGCAGCTGGACTAGCTGAGGTTGGAGGTTAAGGTTGAGATCTGGGGACAAGAATGGGTATTCTGGCATTCTGAAATGAAATGACTTCAGCCACACGTGTGGGAAAGACTGCTATCAGGTTGGCAAGCACAGAATATATTGTAAACATATAGTAAAGCTGTGCATGCATTATCATTAACAGATTCAACAAAAAGTAAATTTAGATTCTCATGTTCATATTCAGCACATTAACATAGCTCACAGTGGGGAGACTGCTGTTGAATTTCATGCAAACAATGAAATTCAAACAAGACAAATGCAAGGTCTGCACTTAAGACAGAACAACTGCATGCACAAATACAGGTTGAGAAATGATTGGCTACACTGTAGTACTGTACTGCAGGTTGCAGTGGATGATGAGCTGAATATGAGCCAACAGTGTTCTCTCGGTATAGAACAAACCAATAGCACACTGGGTTGTATTAAAAGGAGTGTCACCTGCAGATCAAAGAAAGTGATCCTTCTGCTCCAGATAAGGCCTCACTTAGAATACCGTATACAATTTTGGGCCCCAACCATAAGAAAAATATGAGCAGATTCAAAAGAATCCAACAGAGAGCAACAAAAATTATTAGATCCCTGGGAAACATGGCTTAAAAGGGAAGACTGAAAGAACTAGGATTATTTAGTATGAAGGAGAAGACTAAGGGGGAGGATTTGATGGCTCCAAATACCTGAAGGCCGGTTATAAAGAGGACAGAGATGGATTATTCACTGTGGCTGCAGTGGGCAGGACTAGGAAAAATGGCCTCAAATTGCATCAGGGTAAATTTTGGTTGGAGATTAGGGAAATCATTCTCACCATGAGGCTGGTTAGCTCTGGAACAGGCTACCAGGTTCAGGGGTGGGCAAAATGCGGCTCAGGGGCTACATGCGGCCCACCAGGCCATTCTATCTGGCCTGCGAGGCCCCTAAAAAATTTAGAAAATTAATAGTTATCTGCCCCTGGCTGCCTGTCATGCGGCCCTCAATGGCTTGCCAAAACTCAGTAAGCGGCCTTCCGCCTGAAATAATTGCCTGCCCCTGGGCTACCTAATGAAGCAATGGAATCTCCATCCCTGGACATTTTTAAGAGCAGGTTAGACAACAATTGTCAAAGATAATTTAAAGGCACAGTAAATATGCACCTTTGCAGACTAAATAAGATATATAGAGAACAGCACAAGCTTTCATGAACTGAAGTTCACTTCATCAGAAGCTATGAAAGGACATGCAGAAAGCAAAGTAAAATGACAGAGAAATTAGAATACAGAATACAGAAGTCAAGTGAGGGGAGAAAGAGAGAAAGAGACAGAGAGACAGGTAGCAGGGAGAGGGTAGAGTGGGGAAAAAGCAAATGAGCAGTAAACCTATAGGAACAAAGGGGGTCACAAAAGGGTAGTTTAAACCAGGGGTGGGCAAAATACGGCCCACAAGCCAGATTCAGCCCATGGAGGGGCTTTGCCCGGGCCATGGTGGGTCTCTTGGTCCTGCCTGGCCCAGGCAATGTCCAGCTGTGGTGTGTTCTGCTGCCCCTAAGCACACAGCATGGTCGGGGCAGCTCAGTAGCGGGACTGCGAGCCCACGCATGCAGCCCCAACCTGGCATGCCCTGCACCTGCTCTAGACTTGCCCACCCAGGCTGAGCAGTGGCAACAGTGGCTGGGCAGAAACTGTTGCTCGGCATGGGGGAAAAGTGGCCCCTCTCCCTCATTACTGCCTGCACTTCTTGGTACAGCCGACGGAGCCCACGCCGTGCTGGGCTGCCCTGTGTCCCTGGCACTGTCACTGCCACCTCTAGGTTGCCCAGCAGCTGCTCCTCACTGTCACCGCTGCCCCACTGGGCAGCCCAGAGGCAGTGGTGACAGTGCCGGAGACACAGGGCAGTCCAGCCTGGCAAGGGCTCTACTGGCTGCACTAGGAAGCACTGGCAGCAGCGAGTAGGAGGGGCCTCTTTTTCCCCCATGCCGAGCAACAATTTCTGCCCAGCAACCACCACTGATCAGCCTGGGCAGGAAAGTCTAGAGCAGGCATGAGACATGCCAGGTCAGGGCTACATGTATGGGTTCCCGCAGGGCTGGACCCAGTAGCAGCAACAGCCAGAAGGATTTGCCACCACCTGAGCTGCCTAGAAAAGCAGTCCCATCGTGGAGCTGCCCCAGCCCCACCACGTGCCCAGGGGGCAGCAGGACATGCCACAGTCGGGCAATGTGAAGTGGGTGCAGGGCACGCTGGGGCTCCACGCTGTTGGTAGGGAGGTGCCACAGGGCATGCAGGCTCTGGGCTCTTGTGGGGTGGGGACAGTTACTGACCGGTTCAGGGGGCTGTACACAGGGGGCTCCCATGCACACCCCACCACACCCTCAAACCTTCCCCCACAAACCCCACAACCACACCCTCCCCCACACACAATCACACTCCTCACAAATGCTGCACCCACCCACACCCTTCCCCACACACACACCCCCATGCATCTTTTAGGGGAACACCGTTCACTGCTACATACACATACCCCACCACACACACACACCCACATAAACATCCCCAGCCACCCTCCCCCTCCACATACCCCACAGACCCCCACAAACCCCATACCCCGCCACACACACACATCCCCACAAACCCCCATACCAACCCATATTCACACAAACCCCCACAGCCTCCCCCACACCCCACATATACACACATCTACACACACATATCCATCCCCCCACAACCCCCATAGCCACCCACCCAAACTCCCCCATACCCACTCACCCATACTTCCCTCCACACACCCCCAATATACAGGGGTAAGACTTCATTTTGAGCTATTATGCACTATATACACAATGCAAACACACACAAATCAGGACAAAATATTTTCTTAATAAAATTAAAATATGTTACTGTGGATGCTTGAGTTTTAGTATATAATTTGTTTTTTGTTTCCAGTTCCAAGATGGCAAACCCCCTTCCCAAAAGGAATACTTCTGGGGGGCAAGGGGAAGGACTTCTGGTTGCAAAGGTCAGGGGTTAGGGGAAGGGACTTCCGATCCCAAAATGGTGACCAGAGGGCAGGACACCTGTCAAAGGGTGGGACTACCCTTGCAACCCTCGACAGCTCACCAAAACTTGCTAAGCAGCCCTCCAGCCAAAATAATTTCCTGCCCCTGGTTTAGACAGAGATGGTCCCACCTTGCTTTGGACTAGAGGAACTCAGCCTTGCCTTCCTCTGATTCTATTAATCTACAACTGATTGATTGGGAGACTAGGACTGGGACCAAAGGGGAGAAACATGAGGGGAATTAGGAGCCATTTAACTAGTGGGGGGGGAATACTGAGATTAGATTTTGATGGGAGAAGATTGTTAGGACAAGGAGCGGGACTAAGCCTCAGTGTAGGAGGAATGGGAGGAGGAGAAATACATTTGAAAAAATGTCAGTCCTGATAGGGGGAACTGAGATCTGTGTGGGCAAAGAGAATGAGACCAGGATCAAAGAAAGGTATAGGAACAAGTCAAATGGAGACATAAACTGGACAAGGCACCCAAAGAGGCGGGGACTGGATGTGGTAGTAAGGGGGTGGGGGGAGGGATGGAAGAGAAGAAGGACAGATTGGACAAGAAGGCAGTTGGGGAAAAAGTGATTGGCTAGGAAAGGAAAATGGAGAGAAGGTGAGGCAGGATGAGTGATCTCTGACTGACTGAGAATAACAAAACAATAGTATGAAGACTGAGACTGGGCCAGCCAGGGGTGCAGGATGGAGAAGAGACAGGAATGAGACAGACACAAATTGGAGAGGATGGGGCAGAAGATACTCGAGCTCAGTGAAAACAAGCAGAAAAAAGTCTGTCCCCACTAAAGAGCACTACCCTCTAGAGCCTGAGATGGAACCCAAGAATCCTAAGGTTCACCATTACTCCACTGTTGGCAAATATCTGAGAAAACCACTCATAGGGCGCATCTACACATGCAATTAGTGCACATGAATAAACTCTAGAGCTTATTGTTCCACAGTTTTTTGCTCCCAGGCACGCCATTTAAACATGCACAGGGAGTAATTAACTCAAGAGCAATCAGCTCCGCATTTTATTCATGCACAGCACATGGAGTCAGGTTGGAGCAGCCCCTGCTAGCAGGAGGCCCCAGGGGTCAGCCTGCCAGCCCAGGGCTGCTCCTTCTGACTCCGTCTGCTGTGAAGGGGCTGGCTAGGGCATGAGGGAACTTCAGTGCAGGGCTAGCCAGAGGTTTTTACTCCACACTAGGATAGTACTGGTATTTACAAGTACTATCCTGCTGTGGAGTAAATTAGTTTACTCCAGGTGCATCCGCTGGTGCGGAGCTGATGCCGGAGCCCGGCACAGCTGTTTGGAGCCTGCCAGCTCTGGGGAGCTGCTGCAAGCCCTGCTGGGACACTGCAAGCCCTGCTGGGAACAGCCCGGGCTCCAGCAGCTACCCAGAGCCGGGGTAACTGCTGACAGCCA